GTTGCAGAGGATATGGAAAAATAGGAAACCCGCGAGGCGCGGGCTCGGTGCGATGCAGCGGGGTGGGAAGCCCGACGCCAGCCACCATCGCTGCCGAGGGTGACCGGAACAGCACCCACAAGGGGCCCTTTCAGGGCTGGGTGCTGGGAGCCATCACTTCGGCCGCGCGTTTGGACTTACCAAATCTGAGTGTTTGCCGCGCTAGAATCCCCAGCCGCCCAGCTGCCGGTTTAGCTAGAACTGCTCGGTTTCTGATTTGGTTTTATTTTGTTTTACTTTGAAGTTTAGTTCGTCCAACAAAATAGGGCTTTTGTTGTTGTTGTTGTTTACTCTCGAATGCTACATTCTCCAGGCTTGGAATACAGCCTGACACATCCTATGCCCTCAACAAATATTTGTTGAGTAGTTGTAATAACACCCACCCCTTTGTGTGGTTCTTTGTTTTCGAAACGGAGGGCAGAGTTCATCCCTGCAAAGGTGAGATCCTCAACTCCAGAGGCTACAGGTAATTAAAGGCTCAAATGTTTGTAAAGAGTAGGTACTGATTCTCATCAGACTTTTATGAAATTAAACTTGTAGAAGGCAAGAACGTCAAGCGCCGTAAAAAGTACGTAATACAAGTGACTCGGTTCTGGAGGAGAAACTATCTTCTTGCTTATCGAGGGCAAGGATTTTAAAAGTCCACAGTTGGAATAATCTGGCGGAAGTGACTGGGAGGGACCCGAAGGGCGAGCCCATTCAAGTCTGGCTCAACCTCACACCTAAACCTCCCCAAACAGATTTTTTTTTAAAGTAGGTGGGACCCAATTGAAGAACAGGATACTAAGTAACTGCCCTGTGGTCTGGAAGTGTTAAGGTCCTGAAAGGCGGACTGAGACCTGTTCCGGATTAAAGCAGTTGAAGAGAAAAGACCAGGGATCAGAAAAAGGCTTTTTTGTTTGTTTGTTTTCATGGGAATTAGTGGAACACTAGGCAAAATTTGAATAAGGTCTGCAGATTAGATAGTAGTGTTGTATTTAATTTCTCCATTGTTGTTGTATTACTGTGGTTAGGCAGGGGAAAGCCATTGTCTTAAGGAAAATCTACCAAATGTTTAGAGTTGAGGAGGGATCATGTCTATAAATTACTCTCGAAAGGCTCGGAAAAAATCATATATTTAGAGGGTTGGAGATATAGCTCAGTGGTAGAGTGGGGCTTGCCTAACAGGTGCAGGGTCCTGGGTTCAACACACACACATACTCATGAGCGTGCAAAGAGTAATAAAACAACTCTAGTATAAAGTGTTCACACTAGAGAATCTGGTAGGGGAGGCCCCCCTCCCTGAAATGGGAATTGAACCCAGGGCTTCACACATGCTTGGCAAGAACTTCACCACTGAGCTAGTTCCCCAGCAATTCTTTGCTTGCTTGCTTGCTTGCTTTTTGAGATGGAGTCTCCCTAAATTGGCCAAGATGGCTTTGAATTCTGGTCCTCCTGCTTCAGCCTCCCAAACACCTGGGATTACAGCCATGTGCTAACATGCCTTCCTATGTAGTGTCTTTTATGTAATTCTTTATAACTTTTCTGTAAGTCTAAAATTATTTCAGCTAGGTGTAGTGATGTACATCTATAATCCCAGCACTCAGGAGAGAGGCCGAGGCAGGAGGATTGCCACCATTTCAAAGCCAGTCTGGGAACTACATAGTGAGTTCAAGGCCCGTCTGAACAACATAGCAAGACGTTTAAAACTTTTTTTTTAATTTAAAATTTTAATAGCTTTTTCCCCCTTACATGGCCATTCTAGAGTTTAACAAAGCTCTGTGTCAAAACTTCTATGCTGGGCCAATGATTTGGCTCCATGGTTTCCACCCACTGCCTCGCATGCACACGGGCTGGAGTTTGATCCCCGTTATTGGTTTTGTTTTTTGTTTTTTGTTTTTGGTACCAGGGATCAACTCAGGCCCTGGTGCTAACAAGGCAGACAGACAGTGGAACCATGAATCCAAATCCCCTGCCCAAAAAACACTTCTTTGCAAGCAAGCAAGGTCCTGAGTTCGATCCCCAGTACCACCCCCCCAAATTTGATGTACTTTCTTCTATGCTAACCCTTCATACCATAGAATGATTCCATTTCCTTTGTGAACAAAAGAAAACTACCCATTTTCTATATAAAAATCTTTATATACTTTAAAAAAATATGTTAAACTGGGGATTGAACCAAGGTCTTCACACTGAACTACATCCCCCACCATTCTCTGTTTACTTTTGAGGCACGGAGTTGTTCAGGCTGAGCGTGAACTCATAATCCTCTCTCTGCACTGGGATCACAAGTGTGTACCACTACACACTTGGGGAGCAGAGGCTGGAGAATCACAGATTTAAAGCCACCCTGGGCAACTTAACAAGACCTTGTCTCAAAATTTAATAAAAAAACAAAAGGAGCTGGGAATCATGAATAACCTTCCCCAGATTAAGTAACTGCAGCTCTTTTTGTTTTGGTTTAATTTGTAGTTTTTGGTTTGGTTTTTGGTATTGGGGATCAAACTCAGGACCTTTTGCTTAAGAGGCCAGAGCGGTGCCAATGAGCTAAATTCCCAGCCCAGTTTTTGGGTTTTTTTTTTTTTTTTTTTGAGAACAGGATCTCACTATGTAGTTTTTTGGGTTTTTTGTTGTTGTTTGTTTGTTTGTTTTTGTTTTGTTTTTTGAGACAGGGTCTCACTCTGTAGTTGAGACTGACCTGGAACTCACTATGTAGCCCAGGCTGGTCTCAAACTCACAGCGATCCTCCTGCCTGAGCCTCCTGAGTGCCGGGATTATAGGAGTGTGCCACCATGCCCGGCCTCTCACTATGTAGTTGAAACTGATCTGAAACTTACTGTGTAGCCCAGGCAGGTCTCGAACTCACAGCGATCCTCCTGCCTCAGCCTCCCAAGTCCTGGGATTACAGGCT